TAGCACTTTGGATAGACCTCGGGTGATTGGCACAGTCCAAGAGGTCCAAATCAATTGTCCCAGTCAGCACTGGTCTCAGGTGGGGGAGTTCATAGAGTCTCTGGCAACTAGATAGCAGGGGTCTGCCAGCAGCTCAGGTATGACTAGCTCTGGTGCTCCGTGGGGTCAGAAGGGCCAAGCTGGCAAATAAATTAGTCTGGGACGGTTGATGCCTCCTTCCCCACCGTGTACATCTGTCACACCCAGTCACTGGTAACCCCAGTGGGGCTGGGGCTGTGACCCAGTTGTCCCCAGTGAGCAAATGCCCCAGGGGTTTATGCCTGCCTGAGTCAGAGAGAGATCTATGTCTCCTCAGCCAGGTCTCTGTTTTTTAGCCACTATCCGGCAGGGGGAGGTGAGGCCTGAGTACCTCGGGTGCTTAATGGAGACAGGGCAGTTCACTCAGTTCCAGCCCCACCCCTGATTGATGTTGTTGGCAGAACAGCACAACTTCACAGAGTTTGTTTCTATCCTGGTTGTCAGACACTGCTTGAGGTGACAGAAACCATGACTCTTCTGGGCAGTGGCTAGCAATTGGAGCTCACACTGAGCTGTCAATTCCTGCCTCTGCCTGCCCACCTTTGTCTCAGCTAAGATCCCCTGGGGCGGGGTGCGTCTCAGCCTCAGTAATGCGGAGCTCTGACACAGCCCCTCCCTGGAAGTCTGCCTACTGTGCCAGTGTATTCTGGTCCCCACGCTCCTTTACTCATGTCCCAGATCCGTCCACCAGTAGCTGCCACCCAGGAAGGTGCCTGGCTTCCTCTGGTTGCCCAGAGAAACAGGGTGTGTCTGTCCTGGATAGCTGCTTCACGGGGTGTGAGCCTATTGTTCCTGTTGCTGCTGCTGGTCCTGAATGGTTCCCTCTCTGCTGACCATCCTTTCTTTACTTCCGTGCCACAGAATCAGCACAGCCAAGCAAGGGCCCTTCCCCTGTCCACACCTCTTGAGAAAATTCCCAAGATTCTCGATTCCATGGGGGACAGGCTTCCAGACCTCCAGGTGAGAGTGGAGGGGAGTGCTGAAAGTTCAGAGTTGCAGGTAGAGAGTATATACAGTTTTATGCCTGGCAGGAAAGTGCCATGGCACACTAGTACGGGTAGGAGGTCCAGTTTATTAGAGGATCTCTCCCGTAGGATGGAATGGGAGGACTTTGGGACTCTGCTCACTTGTTTCTATGGAGTTTACTGCAAGCCCTTCTCATAGGGAAGGGGACTCCTGTCCACTTGGTGATGGATTCAGTACCTTTTGTTTATATCTTTGGGGTCACAGCTCACCTCAGTAGGATGTTATGCCTTCTTTAACCTTCTCTCTTGACTCAGCTCCAGATCATCAGCTTACTTGCTAAACTTCTGTCTTTTAACTCTCCTTCTGGATGGGAGCCTCTGTGGAAAGCTGGCTGAAGTCTGCCATCTTACCTCCGTCCCCCCCGGCCATTCTTCATTATTCAGACACATTCTGTGTTGCATATCTCTTGGCGGTATGTGTGTGTGTGTTCTTTTTCTTCCCTATAAATCTCTTTTTCTAGGTGGGGCCAGCTCAAACTTTAAAGCTTTCTATTTCCCTAACTCCTGTCCTATCCCCCAGTAGAGTTACCATGTTTATTATATATATACTTTCCATAGTCCACAGATGATTTTTAAGTCCTTATACAAAAATGAATGCAAAACAGTAATGTTGGAAAAAAATTAGGGCCGGGTACAGTAGATCATGCCTCTAATCCTAGCACTCTGGGAGGCTGAGGCAGGTGGATTGCTTGAGCTCCTGGGTTCAAGACTAGCCTGAGCAAAAGTGAGACCCCTTCTCTAAAAACTAGCTGGGTATTGTGGTAGACACTTGTCGTCCCAATTACTCAGAAACTGAGGTAAGAGGGTTTCTGAAGTCCAAGAGTTTGAGGTTATGAGCTCTGATGCCATGGTACTCTATTGAGGGCAACAAAGTGGGCAAAAAAAAAGGAAGGTTCAAGCACATGTAAATTTGGTGGAATTAATTGTTCACTTACATTTGTTTTCATAATACTTTAAAACATAGATTATTATATTGTAATATTATAGTTAATATATATATATTATATCTGTTTTTCTTGTTCTATATTCCATGAAGGACAGAAATCTTAAATTATTCATCTTTGCATTCCTGGTATCTGGTACAACAGATACACACATACAGGGCTCAATATATTTGTTAAATTGAATTAAAGTCAATTGTCTGAGGGTTGTTCTGAAAAGTGAGTGGCTATTGTTCTGACTCTTGGTGAATATGAACATTTTTATGTCAATGCAACATTAGTTTTATGGGCATATTGAAGATTTTATTGTGCACTGCTTCTTCCAGATCATTTTTAAATATTGACATCCAAATAGTTACATTTTCATAGTTCTGTGAAATGGAATACATAGACAGTAGAAATTGGATGATGTGATTGTAACTATAGCTCAGCTGGTCAACACACATCATTGCCTAGATTAAATAAAGTATAAATGTATTCATAAAGTTTTTGATTGTTGTTTTGTGCTGATTAGAATTGTAGTGTAAAAATTTGAGGACTTACTCTTTAATTAAAATATAACTATTTTAAATTAGTCTTTTACTAGTTAGTCTTTTACTCTCAAGACTATATAGACAACACAAGTCAAACATAATATGTATAATCTAATATTATATAGTTCATGTGGTGTTTGCTATCTTCTTAGTTTGGTGTTAAGGGAAGTAAATGTATTACATATCTTAAAAAATATTTCTCTTTCTTAAAGATATAATTTAAAATTTTTCTGCTTCAAACCATGGCTGCATATCATAATGATGTTTTTTTTTCTTTACAGTAGACTCTTACTTAGCTAATCAGTGCCTATTCATTAATCTGTCTGAGCCTTGTGGTGTTACAGTTAATTTCCTTCACCAAGAGCACAAATACACCTTCTCCAGGAGGAGTTATTTTCTTGTTTATCAGTTACCCCTGGTTCATTTCTACTTAATTGGACAATGATAGCATACTTTCTCAAGGTGAAATAAACATAAATAAATATTCTTTGTGGTTACTATCCTTTGCTGTTTTGATTTCTGTGAATGCAACATAAAATAATAGGAAGACTTCAAGAGGCATTTTTCATGTCTTGGATTCCCTTTTCTGTATGTGCAGAAAATTGCTTTCATAAAATTTCATATGCTGCTGATTGACCAACCATTAGATATGTTTTTGTGTAAGTAAAATTGCAAAGAACAGATAAAAGTGGAATTTAAAAAATATAGCCCTTAAGCTATAGTTGCATGCTAGTCCAGCAGTGCAGGGACAGCTAAGAAATTGGTGGATGTGCATATCACTGTTTGATAACAGGCTCAATTTACTGGGCTTTTTCTGACCTTTACTTGTTATAATAGATAGTAATTGCCTATAAGGCCATGTTTCTGGCCTTTTTGTTTTCTATTGCTTTTTAAAAATTGCATTGTAAAACTAAACAATAGCCAGGTGAGTAAGATGAGGAAGAGAAGGATCAGAATGAGCTAGAGAAATAAAAGGTATTAAAATAAGAGTTTTCAGAACAGTTTGGTAAATGGATAATCTCTTAATGAGAAGCCACTGATAAATGAAAAGCTCTATTATCCATTCTAGTTTGATAAACTATTAGGATGAAACAACTTTTTCCCTGGGAAAGTGGTAATCATTATTACCATGAAAATATTTGTCAAATTATGCCTTACTCAGAAAATGTACCTGAATTATTTTAGAGAATTTTATTTTTAGAGAATTTAAAGAGAAATATAACAACAGAAAATCAGTAAAAATGGAATATTATAAGACTTAAGAGATTACTATACTATGTACAGAATAGACCTACATTTCAAGAAGTGTAATGAAATTATGTCATTTTATTCTTTCAGTAATAAAGTAGAAAAATATAATCCTAAGAGTTGAAGAATAGACTTAGAGAGTTGCCTCTTTAATGAGTCTATCTTCAACTACTGTCTGAGCATCACTGGGCAAATCTGGCGATTGTCTAAAAGACTGCCATCAGATGTTGGGTTTGCCAATTCTGATGATTGCTAACAGTTATTGAGAATGAAGAATTGAACTCAACGTTCAAGCATTTTCTTGTAATTTTGGCCTAGATCACCTATTGAAGTAGTAGTTTTATAGGCTTATCATGTTCTGTTAAAAGATTGTAAAGATACTTAGTTCCCATAGTGTGGAATGTGTAAACAAGCCATGTTTACTTTATACACACTGCTCATGGTTTAATGATGTTGTTATGTGTATATTAAGGTTTCACCCTTTCAGACTGAAGGAACAATTCATCATCTGATTTTCCATATCCAGACCGTCTTCATTTTGTATACAATTTTTGATAGTTTTGGCTTTTGAGAATGATGTCTTTTTCGCTTTGACTCAGAGCCTTTAAAAATTCCCAGGGTAATTTTTGGTTTATCTTCATTTTTATATTTGTATAGCATTTTGCCATAGGTACATGTTTGATGTTTTACCATGGATAAAACTCTTAGATGGTCATTAGACTCTGACATTCCCATTAGATTAATAACTCATTATATTTCCTTAAATCCAGTTTGCATTACATGAAAGCATTACCTTACTCTTGCTCACACTAAAGTGTATCTCCCTTCTCACTATTATTGTATAGTTAAACTCACCTTTCTGTATTTTAACCCATTTAAGCTTAGTGTTTCCTCACCTGGAAGAGCCTTGGGTAATATGAAAATCTGGAGGTTTCAGTGTACACATGTATACTTCTTCTACCAGGTAATTTTCTCCATGTGTTGAGACAAAGCCTAGCACTGATCTTAGAAAACTCTGTTGTTTACATTTCTGTATTCAGGGAGGTATTCGTGTCATCCTGTTTTTCCTTAATGTGAAGCGTCACTACTTCCAAGTCTTATGGAAACTTAATTTTTGATAGTCTTATTTTGATTATCTTTAAAAATATTAAACAAAGTGGTTGCTTTTTTTGTAGATTATGTGGAGAACCACCCTTTTTGGCAAGCTCAGAAGAGAAGCTTTTTGAGTTAATAAGGAAAGGAGAACTGCACTTTGAAAATCCAGTCTGGGATTCCATAAGTGATTGTGGTTAAGTATAGACTTGTTATTATTTGCTAAAGTTAACACTACAAGAATGTTGGCTGATAATTCAAATGTTTTAAATATTGTTTAGTCATTAAATTTGTGTGTGGAAATAGTGATATCTTCACTATAATTGTTCATAGTCAAAGCTTCTGTGAAAGCAGAAAATATATAGTAAAAATTAAAGATGAAATTTGCTGATTATCTAGCTAATTTTTACTGACTATTAAATTAGGTAACTCAGGCAAGAAGATAGGCTTTAAACTTTATTATATACCAATACTGATGATAGTTATTGTATACTTGACATCTTTTCTTCATGTTATATAGACCCAATTCTAAGTAAATTGGAAAATATGATATTAATTGTAGTCAAAATGAATAAGATTTTCAGAATTTTCCCTTATTTGCAGCTAAAAGTGTTTTGAAACAACTTATGAAAGTAGATCCTGCTCATAGATTAACAGCTAAGGAGCTACTAGATAACCAGTGGTTAACAGTAAGTTACAGTATTACTTTTTTCCCTTTCTTTGTGACATGCTATCATTGCTCATGTCTTTTCATTTTTCCTTGTACTTCTGAACATAGTCTATTAAAAGTCAATAGTTTCAAATTCTAACAAGTTAAAAAAATTGAGTGTTGACATCTTTCTCAAATAGGCATTTTCAACTGTTACCAACCATCACCACAGTTGTTTATTTATTTATAGAGATTTAAATGATCCTTGCTTTGCTAGTGTCATGAAGGTATGTCCAATGGAACAGAGCTGAAAAATGTTCGTTATTAAAGCTGTGGAACGTTGAAGCCATCTCTATAGTTCAGTGATGTAAAGCACTGAACCACTCACCTCTTTCAACTCTTTGGATGTAAGAAACTTTTGGAGATTCAGAAAAGCCAGGGTCTACAAACAGCAGCTTGTTACCTGGTTTGAAATTTTAAGTATCGTTTTCTGCCATTAGGCTAAATGCCTCAAGCATAGACTCTGTGTCTTACTGCTGTTTGTATCCCACCACCCAGAATGTTAACCTGGTCACAATGGGAGCTTAGAAGGAGGCTGCCACCTACCTCTCAATAGTTATTCTTTCTTCTTCTATGGTAACAAGGATCCTGATTTTTAGTTAGAAACACTGCTATCCAGTTAAAAGACTTTACTCCTTAGTCTTCTTTGCTAGTAATTATGATGGGGAATGAGAGGTAAGTAAAGTGGGTATAGTTTCTGGGAAATGTCTTTAAATGAAGAGGGTATGGCATTTCCCCATGCCCTTCCTCTTTCTTGGGGGCTGGAATACAGATGTGATGGTTGCAATTTGAGTAGCCCTATTAGACCATACAGTGAAATCCATGAACTGGGGTGGCAGAGAAGCAAAGTTCAAGGAGTCAGGGTCATAGCTCAAAGAGCTGCCCTGGCCGCCTTTCATTGCCCACCTCCATAATTTTTTATGTGATTAGGGAATAATTTCTGTCATATTTAAGACCTCTAAAATATGTAGCTGAACATAATCCCAATTAATATAATATTCAATAAATAATTGCTGCATGAGTAAATGATTCAGTAAATGAATAGGTCTATAGATATCTCAGAAAATGAGAGCTAGTATTAGCAATTGCTGGAGAACATGGAAATATTACTAAGGAATATTTATCTACATAGTTCTGTTATTTGCTAGTCACTGTGTTAGGTACTGGGGATACATGATATGATCACATGAAATTAATTAATTGAAAAGTAAATTAAGATATGTTATAATCTTTAAAGATCACTCTGGCTGTTATGTGGCTTGGAAATAGGGAATTAGACATTGAAGTAGTATTGTTGAGAGATGATAATAGCTTGGATAGGGTGGTAGCAACAGAGATGAAGAGAATACATGTGAGATATATTGTTTTAGAGGTATAATTGATAGGATTTAGTGATGAATTAGATGAGGAATGAGGATAAGGGAAGAATCATGGATCACATCTAGATTTTTCTCTAACAAATGTTTGGCTGGAGGTGCCATTTACTGAGATATGGAAGACTGGAGGGGAAACATTTCTTTTCTAGGGCAGGGGTGGTGAATCAAGAGTTCTGTATTAGATATGATTAAGTTTAAAATGTGGTATCCACAAGGAGATATCAAATAGATAATGAATATATAAGTCTGGAACTGTAGAAGCCTGAGCTAGAGATATAAATTTGAGAATCATGAATGTCCAGATACCACATAAAGCCATTGGACTAAAGGGATAAAGAGGAAAAAAATACAAATAGAGAAAAGAGGCCCCAGCAATGTGCCTTTAGGCAGTACAACATTTAGAAGAAGAAGTCAAGATAAGTTTAGATACAATAAATACATAATGGTATCACTCTCCTTTTAAAGTTTCTAATTTTCCTTTGGTAATTTCTAATCATTTCTTTAAATAACACTTTTTTCTTTAAGAGCTAAAAAATAGTCTTTACTCAAGAGTGGATTATAGCTGCTCTCTTTTATGAATTTGTTGGTCTCTCAGAGGCTTCTGTACATAATTATTTCTGGCCTAAAGTAATTGTGCAAATGAGTTAGGCAGCTAGATCATAGCAAAGCGGTACCAAGTAGATTTATAATACAGCAAAATAAAAAACTGTAAAACAGATGGTGCGCCTTAGAAATTTATCTCTTTTCAGCATCACATAACTTTCTGGCTTAGCCATTTAATTATTTGTTTTCTAATTAGTACAACTTTATTTCTGGCTTTGGTCATTTTTCTACAAGTCTCCGTTTTTGAGCCTCTGCAACATTTGTCTTTATGAAGTCTTTGCCAAATGGGTAGAGAAGTGACAGATATTGTGCACTATATCAGACTATCCTGAGGAGTTCAGTATATGAAATTTAGAATACTGGCATTTTGCAAACGTCTAAATGCAAAATTCTTTTCTTCTTAATCTCCTGAAGTTTTACTTCCTGTAATTCATTCATTCTTCTTAATCTCCTGAAGTTTTACTTCCTGTAATTCCTGTAAATCATTTAGATGATTCCTGAAATCATCTAAAGAACACATGATAGTTCTCTCAGTGCCTTGCTGTTGACTTAATACATAGTAACACTTCTTCTTTTTTTTTTTTTTCCAGTTTTTGGCTGGGGCCAGGTTTAAACCTGCCACCTGCAGTATATGGGCCCAGCGCCCTACTCCTTGAGCCATAGGTGCTGCCCCATCATAATACTTTTTTTTAAGAAAAAAGTTTTTTTGGATAAAAAGTTTCTATAGTTTAGCATGTGTGTTGTACATTTTGAAATGTAAATATCTGAAAAATATTCTGAAAAATTATGATTATTTTTCTATATATACTTAAATGAGTGGAATTTCAGTAAACATATATGTATTGCTATCCTGATTTTATTTTTATTTATATATTTTTGAGACAGAGTCTCACTTTGTCACCCTCGGTAGAGTGCCCTGGCATCATATCTCACAGCAATCTATAACTCTTGGGCTCAAGTGATTCTCTAGCCTCAGCCTCCCAAGTAGCTGGGATTACAGGTGCCCACGACAACGCCCAGCTATTTTTAGAGATGGGGTCTGGCTCTTGCTTAGACTGATACCGAACCCATAAGTTCAGGCAGTCTACCACCTCAGCCTCCCAGAAGGCTAGGAGCCACCACACCCCGCCTGCTGTACTGATTTTAAAATTGATAGGTTAAATGTAAGGAAAAACAGCCAAGAAATGACTTTCCAGCAAAGGAAGAGTTTGGTGTTAACTCCCATGGCCAGAAACGTGACCATTATTCTCTTGTATTCATGTCTTCCTTTCTTCCTCTTTACTGTGGTTCAGGAGATAATTGCTTCTTATTAGATAACTGTGAGGCCTCTTGGTATTCCTTCCAGTCCTCTAGTGATAACTAACAGCAAGAATTTACATTTTTAACAAGCTTCCCAGGTATTTCTTATACCTATTTATATTAAAAAACCACTGTAATAAATAAAGGAAATAATTTTTCTTTTATGGTTTGTCAAAGTTAGTTCATGGTTTTGACCTTTATTTGTATTAATCATACATTAAGTAGTTCTTTCAACACATTTTGTGTGTAGTGTGTCTATCACATGCCAGGCCCTGTGACAGGTAATGAAATATAGTTAAAGACATTTAAGCCAGGCATGGTGGCTATAATCTAGCACTCTGGGAGGCTGAGGTGGGTGGGTGTCTGAGCTCAGGAGTTTGAGACCAACCTGAGCAAGAGCGAGACCCCATCTCTAAAAATAGCCAGGTGTTGTGGCTAGTGCCTGTAGTCCTAGCTACTGGGAAAGCTGAGGCAAGGGGATCACTTGAGCCCAAGAGTTTGAGGTTGCTGTGAGCTGTGATGCCATGGCGCTCTATTGAGGGTGGCAAAGTGAGAGTCTCTCAAAAAAAATTAAAAAGAAGATGAAAATAAAAATTAAAAAAAGACTGGGTGGTGCCTGTGGCTCAAAAGAATAGGGTGGCAGCCCCATACACCTGTGGCTCAAAGGAGTAGGGCGCCAGCTCCATATGCTGGAGGCGGCGGATTCAAACCCAGCCCCGGCCAAAAACTGCAAAAAAAAAATAAAAATAAAAATAAAAAAAAGACATTTAGGACATCATTCTGACATAAGGAACTTACATTCTAGTAAGGAAAACAAGCTATGTGTAAGATACAATGCAAGGAAGAAAATTAAAAATGACATTTAAAAATTGCCAAATGACCAGAGGTATGGAGGATAGCAAGTGTGAAATCAGAAAGTTTAATTTGACTGGCAGATGAGATACTTGAAAGAAAGAAGTAGGAAATGAGACTAGAAAAGAAAATTGTGGTACTAAAAATGAAAAGAAAATTGTGTATGGACTTAAATCCCAGATTAAAGAGTTTTAACTTCATTTCATAGGTAGTAAAGAATAATTACATGCTCTTTGAAATGAAAGAAATTATTGTTAAAGTGCATCAGTCTTGCAGGGTGGCTTATTTTATATGAACAACAGTCATTTAAATGTCTTTATTTATATTTCAAGTGTCTTTTGATTTTAATCCATCAGTTACTATAGAGCTACAAAGATGAATAAATACATTCCCTCCCCTTGAATAATTTACCACAAGTTACAGCCTATACTTTGCTTTATAGTCACATTTTCCAAAGGTACTGTTAATCAATGTGTAGAATCTAATTTCAGAACAACTTTCCTAATGTTGGAACAGGGCCCCTGTTCATTAATTTACATATTGTTATTCAGGTTTTGGTCATTAGCTTTTGACCTTTAGCCTTAATGTATACACTCTACATAAGATGATGGAAATTTTCTGATGCCTGACTATTGGCTGTTATTTTTTTCCTTCTATATTTTTTATCTTAAATATGTAAGACTCTTGTCTTTATTTTACTGTACATAGCTATTCTTAAATTCTGAATTATCTTATATACATAAATATGCTGTTGAATCCTCATTTAATGAACTTTTTATTAAAATTATATTCGGAAAAGCTTATTAGCCAGGACCCTTGAGGATTTATTCAATATTCCATTATCGATATG